GCAATAAAAAATATAAGTAATCGTTTTAAAAAAAAATTATAAACTCTTAAACAATGAAAATTTTAATAAAATTTAAATGTTTTTCTCAAATAAATATTTACTTTTTTTTTTAATATAATTAAAATTAAACAAATCCTTTTATAATATAATATAAACACTAAATAAATTTAAATAAATATTATATAAACTTAAATTAATTATTAATAAATAAATAAACGAACAAATGTTTATTTTTATACATCTATATTTTTAAAATGTACATATAAATATAAACAATTTTCAAAACAAACAAACGAACTTTTCAATCCCTCATTTTTTTTCTGATTTATCACTTTTGCAAAATCAAATAAACTACTAACCATCAAAAACATGTAAGTCTATTTTTAACGATAAAATTCCGATTATTAAATAGATAGTTTTTTTTAAACTACACTATTTAACAATTACATATATGTACGTGCGTTTCATTGTGTAAATTTATACTATTTTATATTTTGTTCTGTTATTATTCCAACATAATAAAATTTAAAAATCGAAAACAATTCAATCAAAAACAACAGAATATTCAACAAATTCTACTCTTATTCATTCTGTTTCTTTCTTTCTTTTTTTTATTTCAATATATTTTTTACTCTTTTCCTTTTACTTTTTTTCTTTCTTTTTCTTTCTTTTTTTCAATCTTTTTTTTTTTTTTTTTTTTTTTTTTTTCTTACTTTATTTTTCTTTTTTTTTATTTTTTGTTTTTTTTCTCTTCTGTTTTTTTATTCCCTTTCTTTCTTTTCTTTTACTTCTTCTCTCTTCCTTTTTTTTCCTTTCTTTCATTTTTACTTTCTTCTTTTTTTTTCCTCTCTCTTTTTCTTTTTTTTATTATTTCATCGGATTATTCATTTTTCTTTTATTTTTTCTTTTCTTTCTTCCTTTTATTCCCCTTTCTTTCTTCTTTTACTCTTCTCTCTTCCTTTTATTCCTCTTTCTTTCTTTCTTCTTTTACTCTTCTCTTCCTTTTATTCCTCTTTCTTTCTTTCTTCTTTTACTCTTCTCTTCCTTTTTATTTTATTTTCTTTTTTTTTTTACTTTTTTTCCTTTTTCTTTTCTTTCTTTTT